TACTTTCATTTTTTATTTTAAAACAATACTAAAAATATTTTTACAAGTTCTGAGTATTCTAAAAAATATTTATAATTATTTTAAAATGTTTTGAATATTTTAAAATTAATATAATCACCGATTGTCATTGGTTGCCACCAAGATTGGTGACCACAATGGACCATAATGTTGATGGAGATGTGTATCGGCTACAGTCATCATTAACTACTTGCTGAGCGCTACATATGCCTCGCGGGCAATAACTTCCACTAATAATAATAATGCAAGGTCTTTATCATACTATGTAGGGTCAAACATTTATATGAATCTTTTTTCTCTACTGTATCTTATTAAGAATCCAATTCTCATTTCAATTTAGAAAAATTTACATACATACCACTTTATACCATCCTATTTACATATCTAACACCTAAAACTTTAATATTACATGCATACCACCCTATATTATTTTAATATCAAATATACCATTTGTATTTCTTTCATGCCACTCATATATTTCATTTCTATCACTCATATTTGATATGAAAATGAACTACGGGTGGTATATATGTAATATTAAACTTTTAGGTGTTAAATATGTAAATAGAATAGTATAAGGTGGTATGAATGTAAATCTCCCTTAAATTTAATAGACATATCAGTTCTCATATTTTCTAACAAATTCATTTTACGTCTAACAAATTCAAATAGAATAGATTAGAAAAATATCATCCTAATTGGATATTACCAAATAAATCTTGCAGATGGAGTCTTCCCGGAGTGAATTTTACATACACCTTTGCTCTTCACACTAATTTCTTCTATGAACTATTTTTTTCTCTCTACAAGGATACATAGCTCACATCTATCTAATGCAGTTATTCTCCATTTCTCCTAATAAAGTCATCGGAAGGCCATTGTTTCATGTGATAAAACTATTTAAGAATGCTCTCTCAACCTTTTCACATTATGGTTTTGTTTGGGACGGCTTTCTTACGGCTTCTTAAAGCATCTTTCTAGAACAAAAATTTTAGAAAGCTGCTTTAAGAAGCAGTAAAAAAGCTGTCTCAAACGAAGCCCATGTCTTTAAGGCTTCATTTGAGACGGATTTTTTATTGCTTATAAATCATCTTTATAGTACAAAAATTATAATTTTTGTACTATAAAAATGCTTTAAGAATCAGTAAAAAAAATTAGTCTCAAACAAAATCTAAACGAAGATAAGTGCAAGGCCACTCATCCTAGTGAGCATCTCCATCTCTTCAATACTTGACTTTAATTATATGCTTCTCTTTAATCTCCAATATTCTAAGCCACCATCATATAAATAAATAAATAAATATTTTTAAACAAAAGATATATTTTATTTTATATTAAAATACAAAATATAAAATAAACAAAATAAAAAATAATCATATGTGGGCGCGATAAATTCATACTATTCATTTTTATAAATATTAAACAAAAAAATTTAAAGATATGTGGAAGAAAACAATATTATTTCCAAAAAAATCTCTACAGCGTCTCGCATGAGGAGCCTTTAATTTGTAGGTAGAAATGCACCCACCATTGCATTGAGGTTAAATGCAGCCGCCTATGCCGCTGCCAATATTAATTCAATTGTATTTTATATTAATTTATTTGAGTGATTAATAATACTATTAAAAAATAAGCGAAAAAATCATAATATTTTTTTATTCGCCTTTGCATTTCAAGTTACTTAAAACTTTAATGGCGTGTGCTAATCACGCGTGGTCTACAAATTACTCTTTTCAAACATATTTGAGAAATAGTTGAATTATGCGGTTCATATTGGTCAAATGGTTGGAGATAAATTCTTCTGAGCGGCCACTAGACGGTTCAGAGATGAATCATGATTTGCCACGTCACATGGTATACAATACTAATACACACACCCAAAAAAATGACTCGTGGCTTCTTGATTCGCCTCTAAACGTCATCTGGTGACCGCACAAATAAATTTATATTGGTTGGGTGCTTTAGCTATAAATTAAAATAAGTTTGATTATTTGCTTATATGATGTATGTGTGAATTTATCTTAATTAACATATATGTGCCATAAATAAAGAAAGAAATTGTATAATTTATCTCTTAATTCTTTTAAAGGATCAAAATAGTTTTAACTATATAAAAGTATCAATTTAGGCTTTATTTGTAATATCTTTGTTGCATCCTAGAGTATTCGCGGCGGTAGATAAATATATAGTTTAATATCTTAGCGTTGTACGAAGATCCAACACACAAGCATATAAGAGAGAGCGTGTAGCATTCATAAGAGACACCAGAGTTTTTACGTGGAAACCTTTGAATAGGGGTAAAAACTACGGGGCCTAGCCCAGTTTGAATGAATCTACTAGTATTTGCAGTCGATTACAAATGAGGCACTTCCTTAGAAGAAGGTCTTGGCTTGATGTCACAAACGTACATCATATAGAGCACATTACATGGTGGGAGTTACATAGATATTTTTGTTTGGTCTGCAGGATCATAGTCGATGGGATAGAGGTTGGAAAGATCGTAGTTGGCAGGAGACCAGGGTTAGAAAGACCGTTGTAGTAGGGCAGTACTCTGGTAGAACTTTGGGCATCATTTGGTATCCTGACAGAAGTTTGGGCCTCAGGTGATGACTTGTCAGAAGTCCGGGCCTCAAGTGGTTGTCCGGCAAAAGTCCGACGTCAAATGGTGGTCTGGTAGAAGTCTGGGCCTCAGGTGGTGGTCCGGTGGAAGTCTGGGCCTCAGGTGGTGGTCCGACGGAAGTCAGGGCCTCAGGTGGTGGTCCAGTGGAGCAACGACGTCAGGAGGTGGTCCGGCAGAAGTCCGGGCCTTAGGAGGTGGTCTGGTGGAGCACATGGCCTCAAGTGGTGGCCTGGTGGAGTACAGGCCTCAAGTGGTGGTCCGGCATAGCAACGACGTCAGACGGTGGTCCGGCGGAGGTGAGGGCCTCAAGTGGTGGTTCGGCGAAGCAACGACATCATGCGGTGGTCCGGCGGAGGTGAGGGCCTTAAGTGGTGATCCGGCGGAGCAACGACATCAGGCGGTGGTCCGGTGGAGGTGAGGGCCTTAAGTAGTGATCCAGCGAAGCAACGACGTCATGTAGTTGTCTGATGGATGTGAGGGCCTCAAGTGGTGGCCTGGTAGAGCACAGGGCCTCAAGTGGTGGTCCGGTGGAGCAACGATGTCAGGCGGTGGTTCGGCGGAGGTGAGGACCTCAAGTGGTGGCTCGGCGAAGCAATGACTTCAGGCGGTGGTCCGGCAGAGGTAAGGGCCTCAAGTGGTGGTCGAGGGGAACAACGCGGACCACAATGTCAGGCGGTGGTCTGGCGGAGGTGAGGGCCTCAAGTGGTGGCCTGGTGGAGCACAGAGCCTCAAGTGATGGTACGGCGAAGCAACGAAGTCAGGCGATGGTCCGGCGGTGGTGAGGGCCTCAAGTGGTGGTCCGGCGAGACTCCGGCGGTGGTCGAGGAGGAGCTTATTCCTTCGCTTCATTATCTTCTTTTCTTCTCTTCTTGCTTGGATCCCCTTTCAAGAGAAATGAGAGTTTATTTAGATTTTTGGAGTGGCATGACCCGTAAATAGGTGAGAAATCAATGGTAAATGTGGAGTGGTTGAATAGACGGACGATATTGAATCCCTTGATCATGCATCGTTCGTCAGACATTTGAAGGTCTTAATGATGTCGGAATTCAGTGATCTTTGGCTCGTTGGATTTGTCTCGTCAAGGCGCTCAATTCGGCACGTCATGTTTGAAAATCGTTTGGTAACCCAAATCGTGGTTCGAACCTTCCAACAACACTTCAGGTTCTTGGTTTGGACTTATTTGGGCTCAGATTGAGTCAAATTTGGTGTCGTTAGGTTCGTATTTCCGAGACGCTCAGTTTGACTGTAAGTTTGCTGAAACCATAGTTAGGATGGTCCCAATTTTAATTTTGAAAGTTTTCAGCTTGATTTTGTATTGAGATTCGTGCACGATCAAGATAATTTTTTTGATGACGTATCAATCTTTATTAATGATTTCTAAATTTTTTGAATTAAAAAATTTATACTAAAAGAATTATTTTAGAATGCAATAAAAAAGCTATCTTAAACTAAGTCTTAATCACTTGAATATTTAAGTAGAAATCAAATTAGTCATTTCATAAGATCATTTTGATCTATATTTTAAAAGTTAAAGAATTATAAATGTCCGGGTTTTTTTTAATAGCAATAATTGGAATAATATTTGATTATTAACTTCTAATATATTGATTCATCAAGTTTAAACTAGATGTTAGTTTACTTACTTAAAATTAATGCTATTTTGATTTTTTTTGCTTTTAAAAATTTATTTTCAAATGCATTTTTTAAATCAGAAGGAGCTTTTAAATTCAAAATTAGAAAAATTAAGCTGTGTATTTGTTTTGAAATAACATATTAAAAAATATATTTAATTATGCATTAACATAATATATTAATAAAAATATACCAAGTTTATAAAACATAAATAATTAATAGTTCTCTTAAAAATAAACCATTGAACCATAGAGCCAAATTAAGGGACTTTTTGTGACAATTTTTGTATTGATTTACTTTTATATTAATATTAATTTTTCACAATTTAAAAAAAATCTTTAAATTTTTGCGCTATTAAGTTTTTTTTTTACAATAGTTTTCAAATTAGTTAATTTACCTACACTAATGTTTCATTTGGGACGATTTTCTTCTGCTTCTTAAAGCAGCTTTTTAGTGCAAAAATTTAATTTTTTTACTATAAAATTATTTTAAGAATCATAAAAAAAGCTGTCCCAAACGAAGAGTAAGTCTTCACTTGAGATAGCTTTCTTATTGCTTTCTAAAGCAATTTCTTTATGCAAAAAATTTTAAAAATCAATAAGAAAATCGTTTCAAATGAAACCTAAGATTTTTTTTAATAAAACTTTCCAATCATTTCTTAAAATATTTTTTAAGAAAAAAATTAATATTATAGCCGTCCTAAGATCCTAAACTTACAAAAATATTTTTTAAAAAATGCTCATCATATATTTTATCATTCAAATACAATACATAGAATGCCTAAGTAATACAAATCACAACGCAACACATTAATCCCTAAGCCACGGCTTTATTTAATACACCATTATATTATTTCAGTCAACAAAGAGAAATATTAAAATCCATCAAAATTCATATTTATGTGACATATTAAATAAGACACACAAACAAAATTTATAATAGATTTTAATTACTCTTAAAACAAAATCACTGAGCCATGTAATTATTAACTGCTTTAGCCAGCGTAGCTAAATCCGAAAAAGCATTATTTTCCTTCCTGATCGGCGACGCCACCCCCTCCTTTTTTTGAAACCCTTGATCGCATCCCGCCGGAACTCGGAGCACGTCGGAGAGAACCGCCGCGGCGCCGGAGTAGTTCTTGGCGGCGACGGCTGCGGCGGAGCTGTGGAGATCGGGTGTGGCGCCGGCGTAGAGGGAAGAGCAGTTGAGGAGGGAGGTACGGATGAAGGGGTCGGTGGAGGAAAGAGAGAGAGATTCGGCGCGGGATTTGACGGCGGTGGCGTTGGTGGTGGTGAGATTGACGGAGATGACGGCGAGGGTGTGGCCGTCGGCCGTGGAGGCGGCGGGGTTTGTGGAGAGAGTGGAGACGCAATAGTCGTAGTCGACGTAGTCGCCGCCGAGGAAGTTGCAGAGAGAGTGGAGGGTTTCTCCGGCGATTGAGGGGCGGCTGGCGAGGAGTAGGAGGGGGAGGATGGCAAGAATACTATAAGGTTTGTTCATGGCTTCTAGAGAGAGAAAAACAGAAGTAATGAACGAAGAAGGAAATATCAGATAGAGAGAGAGGGGTTGAAACTTAGCACGGTGATCGTTGATGAGAAGGGAGAGTTTGATCGATGGTTATATAGAATTTGAGTGAAGATTTATTTATTTATTTATTTTGCCCTTTATTATCTTCGGTATATAGTGGTCTGGTGCAGTAATTTTGGACTTGGATTGCTGTGAAGTTTAATTAAATTTTATTATTTTCTGATCACAATAAATGAATGGGATTTTTTATATTAATATTTAATAGAGAATACTGCTCATCTACCAAATAAATATAAATGGACAAATTTTTTACATTTTTATGAATCAATTAACATACTAATTAAGAGGTTATTCCACATTTAATATCAAATTTTCTGTATATTTATAAAATAAAATTTTAGGCTGTTGGCCTGAATCTCCTCTCTTTCCCTCTCTCTCTCCTCTTATCCTCCTTTTTTTTTTCTTCTTCGGCAATGCTCGAGTCGAATGGGATTTTGAAAATACGGATTTGTTTATTTTATTATTTAAAAATCATTAATTTGAAGTAGCACTATGGCGCTCAACTCGCTAGCGCCATTGTGCTCTGATAAAATCTTTTTAGATTCTTTAAAAATTTCTTTAGCTGAGGCTCAGCGTCGCAACGGAATCACCCAACATCACAACACAGACTCCCGATGTACCGAGAGAAGTTATTTTTTTATAACTTAAAATTCACTTTCTAACTTGCTTCTCACATTCCTTAAGGTTCATTGAGCATTCTAAGACTCATAATAACTAATCAAATTAAAATTAACTATCATAACATAAATTATATGGGTTTCCTTGCAACATATATTACACGTCTTACCCATTTTTTAATAGGGAGCTATTAGTTTGAAGTATTCATATTAATATGACAGCAATATTGTAAATGAAATGCAATATAATTTCATTGTATTTGATATACTTTAGAGTTGTTTTGATTATATGTAAGAAATAAATTTGGCCTAACTCATTATTATATGCTGAAAAGAGAGTTGAAACTTATAACATGGAAACTTCCACTTTGGCTTATCTCTTGAATCTCGATGGAGTTCACACCTTATGATCTCTGTAAGAAAAAAGAGAGAATGATTTTCAGCTGGCTCAAATTATAAACTCTCCACTCTGAGGCCATTTATGACAACTTTGGGGCATTATTTTTTCGTTTCTTTAAAGAAAATTTTGAACAAAAAAATTGCTTTAAAACAATAAGAAAACTGTACCAAACGAAACATCAATCAAATTTGCATCTCTCTCTCTCAATTTGTCATAATTAAGTATTAATTAGACAACTATAAATGCAACAAATAAAAAAGAATCTTATTATGATGTGTGTGGCATACTGATTGAAAAAATATTTTAGAATCCTCATGGACTAATTTCAAGCTCTCATCATGCAAAAAATTAAAACATAAATTTTAAATTTATCTCGTGAAAATAAGTTCTTAACTAAGGTTTCATTTGGAATAGCTTTCTAGCTGAATTGTTTTTCAAAACATAACTGATACGTCATCAAATAATTTCAAGCTCTCATCATGCAAAAAATTAAAACATAAATTTTAAATTTATCTCGTGAAAATAAGTTCTTAACTAAGGTTTCATTTGGAATAGCTTTCTAGCTGAATCCAGGACGCAACAATAACCATGATTTTTATTTGTCAACTATTTTTAAGTGCTTTTAATAAATTTTTTTTTACTAGAAATTTATTTTTTACAAAAGATTTCAAAAAGTTCTTTTCTCTTTTATAAAAAATTGATAAAAATTTGTCTAAAGTTGACCTAAGTTCCAAGCACAAAATTAAAAGTGATATATCATCAAAATATTATATTGATTGGCACGAATCTCGAGGCAAAATCACCTCGAAAATTTCAAAAATTAAATATGGGATTACGTGAACTCCGATTTCAGCAAACTCATAATCAAACTGAGCATCTCAGAAATATGAACCCAACGACACCAAATTCAACTCAATACAAGCCCAAATCAAGCACCCAAAGTGTTGTTGGAAAGTTCATACCGCAATTTGAGTTACCAAACGGTTATGATTTTAACGAGCTTATAGTCGAATCGAACGGCTCGACGAGACAAATCCAACGAGCCCAAGATCTCCGAATTCCGACATCATTAAGACCTTCAAATGTCTGACGAACGGTGCACGATCAGGGGATTCAATATCAACTGTCCATTCAACCACTCCTTATTTGCCCCTGATCTCACACATATTTACAAGCTATGCCATTCAATAAAATCTATAAATAGACCCATCATTTCTCATGAGAGAGACCCAAGCTAGAAGCAAGAAGAAGGAGGAGGAGAAGAAGAGAAGAATATGAGGGAAGAGACTCCTCCTCGACCACCACCGGAGTTCCGCCCAAACTCCAAATGACACTGGAATTCTGTCTGACTTCCATGGGATGCCAGAATTCTACCCAACTTCCACAGGATGCTAAAATTCTGCCCAAGTAATGACAGAGTTCCCCCCTGACGCCAAAACTCCACCCAAGTGATACCGAAGTTTTCCTCGGCCACCAAAAGCCGGACTTCTACCCGACGCTGGACCTTCACTCATCGCCAAGTTTCTACCCGACGTTGGACTTCTACCAATCATCGGACTTAAAATGGACGTCTATCCGAAGATGATTTTTTTTTTCCATTGTTGGACTTCTACCTGACGCCATCCTTCTGACCTTCGTCGTCAGACAACAGTTCTTCTGACATCGTCGCCAGCCGACTACGGTCCTCCTGACTTACGTCGCCAGCCGACTACAGTATTTCCGACATCCGTTGCCCATCGACGACGATCCTCCTAATTTACGTCGCCTGCCGACTACAGTCTTTATGACCTCCGTCGCCCGCCGACTACGGTCCTTCTAACTTACGTCGCCAACCGACTACGGTCCTTCTGACCTCCGTCGCCAACCGACTACGATTCTCTTGACTTACGTGTCCGCATACTACAATCTTTTCGACCTCCGTCGCCAGACAACGGTCTTTATGACCTCTGTTGCCTGCCGACTACGATTCTTCTGACCTTTGTCACCAGACTATGGTCCTCCCGACCAAACGAACACGTCAACAGTAACTCTTTGTATTTCCAACATGTAATGTACTTCATATAATGTACATCAAGCCCAGACCTTCCCCCAAGGAAGGACATCATTTGTAATCGACTACAATACTAGTTTATTCATTCAAACTAGGCTATGCCCCGTATTTTTCCCCCTTTTCAGGGATTTTCCACGTAAAAATCTTGGTGTCTCATAAATGCTACACCATTTCTCTTATCCGATTGCGTGCCGTATTTTCGTACAACGCTAAGACGTTAAACTTTATATCTCTCTACCGCCGCGAATACTCCTGGACGCAACAAAAAGAAACCTTTAGTTTTGTGTTTTTGTTACTAAGCTTTATATTTGTATATATCTCTCCACTTGGCAATTAATGCAATGATATGACACAAATATATTTATATAAAATCATAATTAAGCTATTATAAAAATAAGTACAATTACATAATATCTTACTTGTATTTAACTCTTTAAATATATAAATTTATAAAAAAAAAAACAGCTAAATTTGAGCTAATTATTGAACAAACCACGATCAAATATGAAGAAGACGTCAGCCATAATTCTAATTGAATGTGCGTAAAAATATTTTTTTAATATGATAAAAATATATATATGACTCGACACATTCACTCGGTAATATCATATTTTGCGGTCAGATGTGTTCAGACAAAAAACTTCAGTCAATGATAAGCTGCACAGCTCAGAATTAACAGTAAAAACGTGGAAACTTCTTAATGGGTTGACCTCTTGGGGTTCATATATACTTTATTTAGTCTATCTGAAGAAAAAGAATGGCTCCCTTTGACAAAACAAATTAAAGGAGATCTATGGAGACTCACCAAACTCCAACTTAGTCATCTCATCGACTAGAGATGTGGAAAAAAAAAAAGGAGAAACATTGTTAACATGTGAATAATTTCAAACAACAATATTTAACTATTATATGGAGTTAAAGAAGATTTAACATGCACATTTCTCAACTATGATCCTTCAATGATTATGATCTTCCGACCACTGTCGCCTAATTACAGTCATCCGATCAATATTATTTAACTACGATCTTCGAACCATTGTTGCCCCACGATAGTTCTTATCATTATATTATGGATACATTAATGCTTGTTGACTTTGTTAGTTACTATATTAAGTATATTTTATATTAATATATATTTTTTTAAAACGAGTCTGCTCAGGAGCATACGAGTTGAGTCGGGGATAGCTCAAGCTTGGCTCGTTAGCTCATCGAGCAGGGTTCACAAGCCATTTATCGAGCCAAGTCCGAACTGACTCACAAGTTGGCTTGACTCACTTACACCTCTTGTTGATATCACTAATAATATCAACACAAATCATCATACCATAAATTTGATGCACACAATAGCTATTTCTAACTCTGGGCGTAACACTATGACTTGTGTTGAATTTCTTCCTCTCTACTCTCCCCTTAAAAGAGTATGACCAAACAAATATCAAGTGATCTCTTACAAGCAACTTTCATGCCACAATGCTCTTTCAACTTCTACTACAAAATATGCTCTTTGTATTATATTTTTATTATATAATATCAATATCTTCCCCCAATTATTTGGAAAGATATTATTTTCAATCAATGATGAATACAAATAGAATCATTTCAACTAGGTCAAATCCTATGAGTTTTCCCTTTTCTCAGGGGTTTCACATTAAAAAAATGGTTATCTCATGCATCACTTAACTTACTTATGTATGTTAGATTTTCGTATAATGCTAAAATATTAAATGCATCTTCACTTATCTATGCATATGTTGGACTCTATATAATATTAAAATATTAAACTTTCACATTACTACAATGAATACCATGACATATGATATTATTAACATAAAATTTAATTAAACTAGTATTTTTTAAAATTTCTCATGTTTTCTCACCTCCTTATGTAAAATGTGATAGAAATTTTTTTGTTGAATATATAATCATAAGTAATTTCATATTTTCATAGAGT